CAGATTGAGCTGTTGTTCAGCATCTTAGCTGTAGAGGGCAGTGTCACTGGCCCTCATATGTGGGATCCGAACTGGGGCCCTCTGGCACTCCAAGCCAGCTCTTAACCAACGCGCCACTCGGCCGGCCCCAAGAAGCTGTTTTTTATATACATGGTGGTCCAAAGGTTAAAGAAAGCTAATATTGAAGCACCTGAGCTCGTTAGCTCAGCCGGGTGGGACATGACCCTCAGTGTGGAGGGTCCATCGCCGCCTCTGTCCTGCAGCCCTCAGGCGTCCCAGCATGAGGTTCCTAGAATGGCCGGCATTTGGACAGGGGGATCTTGTGGCTGAGGGTTGGGCCGTCCTCTGTGCAGTCTTGGAGGCTGGAGGGAAGACAGAAGGGTGATCCGTTTCCCCATACAGGAAACAGCACTGCAGGACGGGGTGCTATCCTTCTCCAAGAAGGGCACTGCACTCGGCGGGTATTAAAAGATGGTAACTTATTTACATTTTACAACACCTTTTCAACCTAGCCTAAGTATTTGATAAAGAATTTTGTATAAAACATAAAGGAATCTTATTATCTGTTGAATTATGTATTATATGAATCAGTGAGATGTTAAGAGAACAAGCCTTAAAAAAAATATCCACAGCACAAGACAGCCCCCCGGGTCCCCCCCAGGCAGGAGCCGACACACAGAAGGTACGGCCTCCTTTCCGCTGGTGCCTTCAACTTGAACTTATTTTCCCCAAGCCTCTGGTCTGCTTTCCTTTTTTCGCACCCTGCCACCCCAGTCTCTGTGCTCCCCCAGCCTTAATGGAGACAGGTAAGCGACCTCCCTTCTCCCAGGTGTGGTGATTTGTGGGCAGTCACAATGTACTGTCACTCATGGGGACACGTGTGCGTCTGTTTTTCTTACACATTGGAGCATAACAAAAAAAGAAAAGCAGCGATAAGCTCCGAATCCTAACTGTTGGGACAGAAAGCTGACACTCTCCCCTGCATTGTGTGTGTCCTGGAGTCAAGTTCGGACAAAGCCCTTTCTTGCGACAAGGCACCCTTTCAGATGGAATGTGGTTCTGGGGCAAACTCCGCCTGGGCCTGAGCTGTTCTCTTGAGCTGTGAACCCCTAGAAGGCAGGGGCCCCTTGTGAGACCCAGGGGTCCTCTGGGTGAGTGGGCACCTGGGGCTTCTGTTCTGGTAGCGCTCGACCCCCCAGTGAGGTAAGAGCTGGTGAGGGGCAGGCTCCCCTGGCACCTGGGCCCGGACCCGGCACTGTCCCTTGCTGAGCTGGCCTGGGGGTGGAGGAGGCTGTGCCTGACACCCACGTGGTCTCCTTGTGACCCACCCTCACACCTTCTCCTGACCCCCAGGCTTCCCACTCAGCTTTTCTGTCAGAACCACAGACATAACTACATTTTAACAGGCTTTTATAATAACCAGTGCATTTCCATAGAGACAGATATACCGGGGGTGCCAAAAAAGATGTATACACGTGACTTGTGTTCATCTTTTGTTAACGGTATATATTGAGAATTACAACGTTAATATAGTTTTTCTCCTTTCTTAAAATGTGTCTACATTTTTTTGGCCCCCTCTGTGTATGCGAGTTTTGTGATCATGGCTGATAAGGTTCCTTGGAACTTACTTTACACTTTTTGAAATTACTTAACCTCCTTACAATGAGCATGTATTTTATACACTTTTAAAAAATTTGCTCTAAGACAAGGAACTATAATACTATTTTAGAAATGGCCAAGGCTCCCTGCAATTTGTGCCTTAAACGCCACTCCCCCCTCTCCCCCAGGCAGTCACCTCTCACACCCCTCCTACCTGATGACCTAGAACCCTCCTCTGTTTCTGGTGCATTTGGGCTTTGGAGTTTTCCACTGTCAGGACCCACCCACGTGTTGTCCAGTCAATGCCAGGGTGCAGGAGCCTCCACCTGGTAAACAGCAAAACCTGGGGCACAGCACAGCCCCAGTGTTAAAATACGCATAAAATAAGTATATGTGTGTAGATACGTATATGTGTGTGTCATAGAAAAAAGACTGCAAGGAAATACACTGGCCTACCCACAGTGGTTATCATTACGCCATTATTTGTAATTATGTCATATTGGTTGTGTTTATACGTGTTTTCCAAATTTCTATGTGAACATATATCACTTTTGTCAGAATATAACTCATAATAAATGTGATTTTTAAAATGCTTTCTCAGCGTTCTTTCTAAGGAGCTGCGGTGTTGCTTTTCTTCCCTCACAGCTGAGCTCCTTTAAAACACCCCCACCTGAGGTTTGCCGGCTCACTTCCCCAGACAGCCCCGCCCGGCCAGGAGGCCTCCCCACGCTGCTTCCGGGGCGTTGTGGACCAGACCCTCTCCTCCCTGTGGGACCCCAGGCTCCTGAGTGGCTCCTGTTCATCCTGGATGCTGGGCTCTTCCCCAAGGCTCCGGTCGGGCCTGCTCTGCTGAGCATGCACAGTCTCTCCGGGGGGTGGGGGGTCCTCAGAGTCAGCGAGGGCCCCCCAGTCTCTGGCTCAAGTGAAGGTTGGGCCCACATGCCCACCTGCCCCCTGGCCATCCCTCGGCAGCGCTGCAACATAACCTGGCCAGGGCAGGGCTCAGCCCCCCGATCAGCTGACCTGTACAGCTTCCAAGTCACACGAGCCAGATGAGTGACCTCTGTGGGAGACCCAGCCTTCCTCATGGCCTCTGAGACGTGGGGTTTGATTTCTTAAGGGAACCAGTGTAGTCGCTAAACTGGATGTCTACTGCTGATGGAGCCAGATCAGCACTTCACAAACCAAGTTTTCTGGAATGCTGGTAGATGTTATCAGGTGATTTGATCAGTTAGGATAGACTGGATTATGCTGCGTTTAACAAAACCCCCCAAAGGGCTTCCTTCTCATAGGACATGCCCGCCAGTCTTGGCTGGCCTAGCCTGAAGCCATCCCGCCATCTGGAGGGCCACTAATTGCCATGGAGGGGTGGGGGTGGGGAGAAATTGGGTGCTCAAAGGTTTTCATCCAGAAGTGACACCCTATCCCTTCAGCTCACAACTTGTTGACCAAAGCAAGTCACATGGATGGGGGCAGGGGAATACAATTCTACCTTTGCCCCAAAGAGGAGCTCAAACTGAGGCTACAGAAAGTCCTCAGAAACAAAACCCAAAAGGTCTCTCTGACCCAGTGAATCCAGGAAATACTGGGTTAAAGGCAGCAGAACAAGCATATGCTCTGCGGGGCTTCTCAGAGCCGTTAATATGCTTATGTATATTGTGACTGTCAGAGCTGGAGTTTGACTGTAAAAGCTGTGACTTTGTGTTCCTGATGTGCCCTCTGTCACCCTGGCCCAGTGCCTTGTACTCATTAGGCTCTCAAATTATTTGGCTTGTGACTTTTATTGCAATCTGCAGGTCAACCTCATGACTTATGAGGTGTGATCAAACAATACGGTAAATGTTTAAATAAACAAAAATGTATTACAGTAAAAGGCACATTGCCAGGCCGGCCGAGTAGCATGTTGGTTAAGAACTGGCTTGGGACGCCAGAGGGCCCCGGTTCGGATCCCACATATGAGGGCTAGTTACACTGCCCTCCACAGCTAAGATGCTGAACAACAGCTCAACCTGGAGCTGGGCTGCCATGAGTCGCCAGCGATGGCGTAGGCTGCAGCCCC